CTGCCATATCCCTGAGCTCTTGTTGCTTGTTGCTAAGTAAAGAGGATGTTCAGCAATGACTATGCAATGCTATAAAGTTTTCTAACTTTGAAATAAAGTATGCATCTCTAAATTCTAAACTTTGTTGACTCAGGCTTTTCAAAGAATAATTTTGGTGCTCGAAAACTTAGCTGCACTGTACAACTCAAGTCACCGAACATTGTTGCCTGGAGAAGGACTTATATGTTAAGGATCTCAGCCAGATCCGAGCAAGCTTTTCTTAAACTTCAATATTTATTCCGATTTGCACAAACAATTTGGAGTAAAACTTGGACCTGAAAAATATCTGAGAAAATTTCGTATTAGAAATGGAGTCACTGGGTCCTGGTAAAAAAACGGATAGTCCGCCTCCAAGGTCGTCACGTCTGGTGTTCCAGCTTCCGACGAGGAATATGGCATTTGGCGAAAGACCAGCCACGAGCCGTGTCCATGCTCCTGCTTCGGATAAGAATACTGCTTCTGATCCAAATGAGCCGCCAAAAGAGGAAAGACGCGGCTTATTCGGACGAAGCAAGAAGACACTGAGTGTGAGCCCGAAAAGGACTACAGTTCCTCATGAACCAATACCCCAAAACCAAAAAGGGAAGACTACGCGTATTCTCTATACCACAGATGAGGAAGTTCGCGACGCTTTACTGGAGTTTGGTGTCTTCATAATCTTTCTTTTCCTTACATCTTTGGGTGAGTAGAAATTTAAAGATTTTCTAAACGAATGGATAAATACTTTAGGTGTAGTGTAGTGAAGTACACCTGTTCATCCTGTTATTTAAAAAGTAGAAGGTTAAAATTATTTTGAATTTTGCAAGGATATCAAAACTTTCAAAGGGATAGACTCCGTTTTATGCTTTCGTGGATACTGAAGAAACATCGGAAATAAATTAATATAAGAGAACCAACTCTTAAAGCAATTCTTAGATCTTAAAAGCCAGAAAACTAGAATTTGTATGTATTTTTATGGCCCCAATCCGTGTTAAGAAACGCATTTTCATTCCAGTTACTCTGTCTGTGCGTCACCCTCACATGTTCTACTTTAACGATACTGTAAAGAAACTGTTTACCACTCGAGAACTGGTTGTGGCTCCATCAGTGACGATTTCTTTTGAGAAGATTCTCACTATCCCAGATTGGTGGGACTATTTGGTGTACAACTATATAAAAACATTGCACGGAGATATGACAATTACTACTCCAGAAAGTAGCCTAGATCCAAATGGAAATTTAACCAGTAGGAGCAACTCTGAATATTTGCGACATGGCACCGCGACTCACTGGAATACAAGGGAGGGATTTGTAGACCGCGATGATAATGAATCCCACCAACGGAACAAGGAAGTTGAAGCACGGACCCAAGATTTCGGGCTTGAAGACGTAGTTGGGAACGCCAAGTCTGAAAGCCTAGACCTGGGTGAACAAACTGTCGATACAAAAAAAGGTCAGGGTGGTTTGGGTGGCATCTCACATCTCCAGGGTCGCGTATTTCTGCTGGAGAACCTTCTACTCGGTCCCCCGCGACTTCGGCAGATTCGTGTTCAAAAGGAGAGTTGCCATGTTAGCGAAGACTTTGTACGACACTTCAACACCTGCTACGCCGCATATTCGGCGGGAGTCGAGGAAAAAACGGGGTTGCACAAAGGTACACAATTTCATTCGATGGGCGCACTCCACGCCACTCCGATTTGGACAGTGCTGGCATTCTATCGAACTGGTGGGTACATTGCCGATCTGACCTATGAAAGGGATGAAAATCTTCGGAAAATAAATAAACTGAAGGACGACAATTGGCTGGATAGTGGATCAAGGCTTTGTTTAATGGAGTTTAATCTGTACAACGAGAATACGGACATATTTCAGAGCGTCAAGTAGGGTTCAGCTTCGATTTAAGGTTACGTGCATTTAAAGTTTCTCTTCCAACCAGACTTCTAGCCGAAATACCCCCCACGGGAGGGGTGATTCCACAGACGCATATGCAAACTGTCAAGCAGTATTCTTTTTTCACCGATCGCAGTCTGACTATGACTGTGATCTATATATTTTGGTACATCATGGTCGCCTACTACACTATCTATGAGATCAATGGATTACGCAAGTCGGGCTGTAAAATGTACTACAAATCGTTGCTTAATGTTCTCGACAGTATTGTATTAGTGGTAAATATAATCTATTTTCGTGGCTTTCTGATCTACCTTTCCATTTTCGACAGTGTTATTAATCGCTTCCCAATCTTCGTTACCATCGCTTCCCGATCATCCTTTCCATTCCTAGCTTTGCTACCTTGCCTTGGTCTACAACGTCTGGCATACCTTCCAAGTTCAATCCCTTACAACTCAGGCCCAGACGCATGAGGGTTATCAAAGTATTGATATTCTTTGTTTCGTGAACATCATCTACGTGGATATGATGGCCATTCTAGCTTTTCTTGTATGGATAAAAATATTCAAGTTTATCAGTTTCAACAAAACACTGGTTCAGTTTACAACTACTTTAAGAAGGGTATATTTACATTTTTAAATTTCATTGGATGTAATATTTGATACGTTGTTTGAACATTTGTAGTGCTCCAAAGATCTGGCTGGCTTCAGTCTAATGTTTGGCATTGTTTTCTTGGCCTATGCTCAACTGGGTCTCCTGCTCTTTGGTACTAAGCATCCAGATTTTCATAACTTTGTCACCTCAGTCTTGACCATGATCCGCATGATCTTAGGCGACTTTCAGTATAATCTCATTGAGCAGGCGAATCGAGTGCTGGGCCCGATCTATTTCCTCACCTACATTCTACTTGTATTCTTTATATTGTTGGTAAGCTTCGAGCGCGAAATGAGTTTTTCCAGTTAATATAAGTATAATTTCTCTAGAATATGTTCCTAGCCATCATCATGGAAACTTATAACTCGGTAAAGAGTGAAATTACGCAAGGGCGCAGTCAATTGGGTTCATATATCTATAAGAAGCTGGCTGGGGCCCTTTACTGGATCATCCACTGTGGCCGGAAGCGACGGGCTCACCCTAACCGCCTCACTATTTCTGCCAATGAGGTTGATCTGGATGGCACGAACGCTGAATTCGAGGAGCCTAAAGTGCTAACAAACATCACCCAAGCAGAGTAAATTTACTTGAGTAAACTTACTAGCCGGTACTTATTTATTCAGCTAAATATATTTTTTAGCGCACGTTACTTTGAAGAGGTTCCCCCCGATGTTCAAAACAAGGAACTATTTCAGTAAGAGCCTCGAAAATGTTATTGATGGCATTAAATATTTATAAAACACCTGGGTTTTCTTTACTAACTCTTAGTCTGACAAATCGCGTGACACTGATGGAAGAAATTCTGGAACAGCTGGTCACCAATATGGATGATGTACTTAAACGCATCGAGAGAGAGCAAGGTACAAGAAAGAACTAACCTCCATGTACATATGCATTCCAGTGATGTATCAAAAATACTGTTTGTTTTTTTTTATATAAAGCATTGGTTAATCATTTGAACATAATATTTATGAGGAATGCGGGAGGGATAGTGGAGTGACAAAGAACACCTGAAGCGGTCATACCGCTGGGTAGCGTCTGTCTCTTTACGAAGTTGCAACGGGAGAATGAGAGTGTCAACAGACCTCCGGTATCAGTCGCAGCCAGAAACTCATACTGAACATATCAAACACATAATCTATTAAAAATAAGCCAAACCTGAATTGACGTGTGAGACGCTTCTTACTCGTCACAACCAGTAAACCCGGAACTCTGTAGTACATCTGATGCTTAGTGGTTTTTTTGCAAATGTTACATTTTAAATTTTTTCTACATATGTCATCTACATCTACATCACTCTTTTAGCTCGCCCCCCTCCCCTAGAGCCACACACTACACGAAGCAAAGTGTAAATGAGAGAATGTGCAAAGAACAACAAAAGCTGCGGGACAGGGTGGGTTTAGCCACTGCAAATTAAGTTCTTCATTGTGGCTATAATAATGATCCAATCGGATCCCAATTTGGTAATCTGATAGATATGGGCATTCCCTACGAAATGGCGTTTTCTTTTATCTTAAAAATTGTAGATGTGGGAGGTTTTCGCCCTTTTGCGTGGGCGGGGCTAATTTTGTAACTACACTGGTTTCACTGGTGTGAGCATATAGCAGTCTGAATGCCAAATTTGGTGGCTCTAGCTCTTATACTCTCTGAGAACTAGCCGACAAACAAGACGGACAGACGGACGGACGGACAGACGGACGGACGGACAGACGGACGGACGGGCAGACGGACAGACAGACATGGCTCTATCGACTTGGCTTTTGATGCTGATCAAGAATATATATATTTTATGGGTCGAAAACGTTTCCTTCTGTGCGTTACATACAACCGTTATTCGCACAAATGCAATATACCCTATTTACTCTTCGAGTACCGGGTATAAAAATTCCAGTTTTTAAAAACTCTTCACAACAAAGTTCTGCCATAGAAAAAAACCATAATTCATCAAAAAATTGGAATGCCTCAAATCTATCAGAAAAAGTTGGTTTGGTTCGAGGCTTAAATAAAATGTGCAATTTGGTGGGGAAGTGTTATCGATGTAGATAATAGCATAGTTTTAGGAGGGACGAATACAAGCTCTGTTGTTACAACATATGTTAGATAGATACATATGTTATGTGAAAAAATGTGTACAGCGGATTGAAGCTTTTGAGCTGGAGTTCGTTTAAATTTTTTTAGATCGAATTTAAACAGATCAAAAGGCTAGGTCGTTCTGGCAAACACCCAGACAGAACGCGTCACAACTTGTATACCCGGTATATGGCCAAGTATGGCCATCGTACCACCACCTAAAACATTCTTGATTAGAAAGTTTTGAATTATTAAATAAGTGAAAATAACGAAAAGTGCACAATTGAGTACATGCGAGTTTTTTAAGTTTTTTATTGTTCGCTATTTAAAAGTTTCACATTTGTATTTATCTGGGATTGCCTATTTGCTAAGGATAAAGTGATTGATATCTACAAAAAAATTGGTTACGTTTGCATTATGCGTTTAGAAGTTATGGGCGACGAAAGTCAGTTATTGTGAACATGTACTCATCATTGCTCCCAACTGTATATACTGCTTGAGTACCGTGTATAAAAGTTTTGTCGCGTTCCGTAGCATCGCCCAACGTTCCTCCACGTTTTATTTGTTTTTCCTTTTTCCAATATTATTTGTTTCACTTTTCCCAAAGAAATCTTTTTTATACTCCCACTTTCGCTTTGCTTTGCTATCCACCCACCAGAGACTTCAGTACCGGCGCACTGCTTCACACATGAACTTCTCGATACGAAATAATTATTTTTTTTGGTAGGTCTGTTTTTAAAATCGACATGAAGCAGCTTACATATCCCTTTTTTATGAGATTGTATTTCTAATACATCACTCACGTACTGATCAATAACATATATCCAACAGGTGTTTATTCTCACAATTATAAAAGACAAAAGAATTGCGCGCTAATACGAGACATAATAGGGACCTAACATCACACAAATACCCAAAAGCCCTCACTCTATTTCGGCAAATTCCGGAACAGTTTCTCCGCCTCAGGGTAAATCTTCCCTTCTTTGAACATTCCTGGACCACCAAAATATTTACGGCATTGCCGCTTGGCGTTCCTAGAGCTCCTACAGGGACAAGTTCAACAGGCAGAATCTGGTTCCAGGAGTCATTGGCCAGTTGCCACAGGCAGTCGAAATTTATAAGCTTCAAAAGGCTTGAAACATTTATCCAATCAAACATCAGACAAGCGCCAGACAGACAGACAAGCACAGGTGGAAAAAGCGTATACAAATGAAATCCAATCATGAGTCTCAGTTAAGTGTGGGTCAATTGTTTGATTAGGCAATTCGCACTCTAAAGCATTTAACCCATTGACCAGGCTATCTGTATCTGTAGAGAAGTGTTTGTGATCAATCAGATAACTTAAGCCAGATGATGTGCGCTGTGGAACAAATCCAACTGCAAGTCTGTCCATAATATATATGTACATATATACACATGTAGCAACTAACATAGATATTGTAGATAATAATTTGTGCCATCGCTTGCCATAACATAAATACACAGTTAAGTCTAGGTTGCGCTTGGCCTGGGTGGGCCGCAGAAATATTATACATAGAATAAAATATATTTGAGTACATAATTATTTTGTCTAAGAACAAAAAAATCTAAAAGTTCACCAAAAGTCGGGAACGAAAGAAAAAAAACACTACAAACATACATACATACACAGCATTATAATGTGGTAATCGTACTTAAATGATTATGGTATTAGTATAACAAAGTTTTGTGACACGTTTTCACGTATTTCACTTATCCGTCGCATTTATGCAGCTCGTGTTTGTCATGCGGGGCAAATGCAATCAATCCTTACTTGAATTATACAAATTAAGTGTAACTTCGTATAAGTAACAAACCTAAAAATGTATACAAGAAATATATATTTAGTTAGAAAAATGCCTTGCAAATAAAAATTACCTAAGTATTGCACATATTGGATAAAAACACTCAACCTGAATCATTGCGTGCGAGCAATCGCTAGAAATCTTACAAAAAGATTGTAGAATTAATGTTTATAATTGATAGTTTGTAAATATTTATTGATAACTAGCCTATCGAGTAATCGCTACTTGTCTTTGCTCGTTTACTTAGCAGCTATTTCTTCATTTCGTCACGTTGTTTATTCAATTAAATTTTGACAATACTAATCGGCTAATCGTTACATATACGACTAGTTGCTTATATATTCATAGCTTGTTTTATGTTTCGTTAATAATAGGCTTAAGGGAACAAGGCTTGCCTTGTTTCTCGATTAACCACCTTCCTATCAAATATATGTTATCTATCAATCATTCTCGATTGCTCGCTTCTTATCGCTTATCGATTAATATCTTTCTTATCGATTACTCGATTGTTCACTGTTTTTCTTCTTTGCTTTTTGTTTGCATTGTACAAGCTGCCGAATGGGTTTAAAAATGTTTAAGTGTAACAAGGAACTATATCTATAATGTTGGCTAACTCGAATGTTATCGTAAGAATATCGTAAGAATTGTATATATCGGTACTGTTATTATTGTTTTTTTCGAGTATGGATTTTTGAAGAAAGTGGTTGACTTGGGGAACTGGTACTTGGGCGCCACCCGTCTCTGTTCACATAGCTTATGTGTGTGTGTTTTTTTCCGCTATTTTCAAAAGTTTCGGGTTTAGTTGTTCTCTTGTATTTGATTCTGCATTTGGCAACGCTTGTTACTATGTCTTTCGCACTTGGTTGTACATTATTTGTAGGTATTCTGTATTATGTTTGTTTAAGATATAAATGTTAGATTTATATGGGGAGTTACTACACGGAGTTACCAAATTCACTCTATATATTTATAAAATCATAAAAATACACACACAAATTAAATTGTGCTGTGACAGTTTGCGTAAACATATTAGAAAATCTTGACCTAGTCTCGCTTAAAAATTACATTAAAACTGTACGTTTTTTTGGTGTATGATTAGTTAGGAATGGAGATGGGGGGGTTACATAAAATTGCTGGCATATCTAGAAGATAATCTCCCACCTCGTTTTTTCTGAATCAATGTACAAAATGGTTACATATAAAATAAATCGGGTTGATTGGGAGTTTTAATAAATAAAAATGAGTGTAAGTGGGTTTGTGGATTGTAAAACATAACAGTAATAGAATTTAAAATACAAATACTCTCTCTCTCTCTCTCTCTCTCTCTATCTATCCCTATGTCTCTCCCTATGTTGTTTCGGTGATTTCCTGATTTGTTGCTTCTTTTTGTTGGTTATGTCGACAACTCTGTGCTACCGCGCCGCATCATGTTGAGTTCGCTGAAGTCCATCTCAGTCGATTCAATCGACTGAATGGATGCACTGCGCAGCTTTGTACCCGGCAATTTTCCGCGACTCTTCAGCGCCGTCAACTGTTAGGGGACGGAAAGAACTTATCAGTTTAAAGATGTTTAAAATTAAAATAATTTGGAAAAACCCCAAAGAAAGTAACGCTCTTTTTACAATTATACAAGTTAAGCAATCATTTTAATGAAAAAACCACTGGATTTTGACTCCCCTTTGCAGAAATTAAAATACATTTGAGGCCTACATAGAAAGCTTATTCCTTTTTTGTCAAATTATTTGAAATAAAAACTGCAAAGGGTATTCAAAAGTCTAGCAATTCTTTCATATCTTCTATATATTTTGCATGCAATTACTATCTCTGATTGATTTAGAAGTTAGTTAAGCAAACATCGAGATGCAAAATACCTATTTAAGTAATTAATCACTATTGAATAATGTTATGCGCATGCAGGCGTGCAGAATAATAGCATTAGTATTATAAGTGTTTTTTTCGCCAAGACACTCCCGAAAAATTGAGGTGCGAGTAAATGAATATGTAAACATACGTAAACATCAAACGAAGACGGTTAAAACGTAAACATCAAACGAAAGACGGTTAAAACAAACAAAAACGGCTTCTATTGTGAAACAACTATAAGTAAAATCTATTGAAGAGATACGTAGAAGTAACTTTTATTCTCAATTAATTCACGCAAAGGAAAAAGGGTTTCGTCTAGGCTTGCAGAAACGTTTCATGCCTGGGCTAAAAGAAAAGGTTCAGGCCTACGTTGAAAGAAAAGATTCATGCACACGCTGACAGGCACGTCAGCAAAAGCGTGGCAAAAAATGCAATTTACAGCTATTTACTTGAATAGCAACGGGAAAATAGAAAGAGGCAGAGTAGGGAATAATGGGAATGATGGGTAGAAAATAATGGAAGTAGAACATGCTACTGTGGCACAAATGGAAACTAAACGATATTATACAAATAAATAGAACGCATATGACCATGCCTAAATTATTATTTCAAAAAACATTTTATCATCAGATTTTTTCATAAAGACCTGTCGTATTTTTCTGAAGTTTTGTTTTAAATTGGTTTTTGCAGGGTGGTTTGCAGGAGGGGAGCATGTTGCATTGTAATTGAGTTTGGAATTAGTTTAACTTGTTGTAACTTTTTTCGGTTTCAGTTTGTTTTTTTTGTTCTTTTTCATTTCGTTTTGTTTTTATGTTAATTTGTTTCATTTCGTTTTCATTTTTAGTACATTTTTTTCTTAATTCGGGCTAAAAGTTAATTTTAGCTTATCCATTTCCACGGCTCAGTATCGGGGCTGGTTATTGGCGTGGGAAACTATAAGTAAACCGACGACAATGGACAATATTTTTTATTTTTTAGCTTTGAACAGAATAGAATGAAACAAAAATTCAATGGGCTACTAAAAAAACATAAAATTACACTACCCGACACGATTTTTGCTCAAGGAAGCAAACCAACTTTGTATCAAAGATAAGGGTCTTAGAAATGGTCTGATCATTTTTTTTTTTATGTCAGAACTTTTTTGAAGAATTTTTAAATTAAGCTGGGAAATATTAAATGTTAAAAGGCTAAAATATTGATATTTGTGAGGTATTTTTAACGACATTTTTGACTATAAAAACTCTGGAAAAGTTGAACAAAAATTATACCCTGGGTTCTTGAGGAAAAAAATTTGGATTTTGTCGAGTAGTGTTATCATCGGGGCTTACACTCGTTGACTAAATGGGTATACAAATATTCGGAAACAAAAGTAAGAACAATTTTAAGGAAAAAATGGAAGGCAAATAATGTTAACTCCCTTCTATACATGATTGAAGCACTTTGAAGCTAGCTAGTGGGAGGTCACACAACATTTATGGGTGTAAATAATAGCGGCTGTGAGTGAGTAGCCTCGAAGAGTAGCTTGATCGAGTTTTACAGAGCTCCCTGATCCTTGATCGAGTATAATGTGCTTTCTGTGCATCGATGAAACATCCTTCAACCCTCTCCAGAGAATACAGACAAAGTTTTTGGTTTTTAAATGAAGCTGCAAGGAGTGTGTTATACTCCTTGCTGGTGTGCTCCTAGATCTTCTTTTCTGTATGCTTTCTGCACAAAACACAGCTGTGTGCACAGCTATAATGTGAAGTTTGTTAACAGGCGACCAGAAAAGAGCCAACGAAAGAGCAAACAAAAAAACTCAAAACAAAAACGGACAAAAGGAAAACTCAAACAACGAGAAGGGACGTGTGAGACGCTTCTTACGCGTCACAACTTTTATACCCGACACTCAGTACTACATCTGCACCTTAGCGGTGTTTTGTTAAATTTTTTTTCAACTGTCATCTACATCTACAACACTTCTTACACCAACACGCTCCATTAGCTCGCCGCCCTTCCCTAGACCCACACACTGCAGACTCGCGGCAGAGGCAGCACCCGCACACAAAAAAAAAAAATAAGCTGCGGGTGGGTTAAAAGTCGGCAGAGGCCGAGTGAAGCAGAAGCAGAGTGTGACAGAATGTGAAAGGAACAACAAAAGCTGAGGGACAGGGTGGGTTTAGCCACTTCAAATTAATTTCTTCATTCTGGCTATAATAATTATCCAATCGGATCCCAATTTGGTGATCTGATAGATATGGCCATTCCCTACAGAATGGCGTTTTCTTTTAACTTCAAAATTGTAGATTTGGGAGGTTTTCGCCCTATTGCGGGGGCGGAAGGGGGCGTGGCTCATTTTTTAAATACACTGGTTTCAGTGTGAGCATATAGCAGTCTGGTGGCTCTAGCTCTTATAGTCTCTGGCTCAAACAAGACGGACGGACGGACGGACGGACAGACAGACATGGCTCAATCGACTCGGCTATTGATGCTGATCAAAAATATATATACTTTATGGGGTCGGAAACGTTTCCTTCTGTGCGTTACATACAACCGTTATTCCCCGCAAATTGTTGTGAATTGGTTAAAGGTTTGAGGTTAGCTGCTATCGTTTGGGCAACTCCACTTGCAGACTCTCTCTCTCACCTCCGCCTTTATGTCGGCCAGTCTGTCCTGCAGGTCGCGCACCTTATCCGATTCATCCAAATTGGCACGCAGTTCGCCTTCAGCCAGCATTTCCGAGTTCTGATTGAAATGAAACAAAAGAGAGTTAGGAAAGGAGAAAATACAACAAATACAAATACTCGACATACGAAATACTTTTCCGCTTCGATGCAGACCTACTCTTTTTGAAAGATATAGAGCTTATAATGTTATAATAGTTTGATGATACTATTTTTTTTTCTATGGAATTTTTTTTTTATAAATTAAATTATTATGTTTATGTTTAAATTATGTTATTTTTTTAAAATATCTCTTTAGAGGTAGTGGTCCTTTTTTCACATAACTTAGGTATCTTGAATCTGGTTTTAATGAACTTAGCCATTCTATAAAGCTGATGAATGCATCTATAAACAGTTACCGACTGTTTTGTTGTTTTAGCTTACCGTTTGAAAAATATTAAGCTTTGAAATGCAAAAATGTTGATTTTTGACTTTAAAAAATCTCGAAAAAATTAAATCCTCTGTCCTCTTTAGGTGCATTCGGCGTCGATTAAAGTATTGCTTATAAAAATTTATGGCTTAATTTCGACATGAGTCTATCAGAAAAAGTCAGTTTGGTTCGAAAAAATTGCGATTTTGTTGAGTAGTGTAATCAGAGAGTTGCAGTGCTTACCTTGGTCTCCAGTCGGGATATTTCCTGTTTCAGTTCGGCCACCGTTTGGCTCTGTTCCGTGAATTTGATCTTCACATTCATCAGTTCATCCTTCATACGAGATTCCAGATCCGAGTATCTGTAGGGAAGATTATAAGTATCTTTATGTTGGTACACTTATTTTTTATAACATCTGGCTCTTACCTGTGCTGCTGTTCTCGCGCCTTATTGGCCATATCCTTCTCCCGGGTAACGGCCATCTCGAGCTCTTCTTTGAGCTTCTTTTGCTCCTCGTCCTGGCGTCGCAGCTGGTTGGTGGATACCTGCACTTGGGTCTCCAACTCCATGACCTTGAGGCGCAGCTCCTTCAGCTCGGTGAGTGTCTCCATCTCTCGTATACGTGTGGTCATCAGCTCCTCCTCGAGCTTTTGGGTTAACTCGCTGGACTTGGAGCCCTCAAAGAAATTGGTCAACAGCTTCTTGGGCGTCGAGTCCAGCGCTTGGGTGTTCCTTTCACTCTCGCTGCGCTGATTCTCGGCCAGCTGGCGCTGCCACTGAGAGCTGAGTTCCTGCACCCGCTGCTTGAGATCCTTGAGGGAGAGTGAGGCCTCCGCCTCGCGCAACTTGCTGGCAATCAGTTCGTCCTGCAGATGCGCCACCGAGTTGTCCGGCGTTGTCTCGCGCAGTGTCTTCTTGTCCTCCTCCAGCTCCTCGACCTTTGTCTTAAGATTCCTGATCTGATCCTCGCTCTCGGCCAGACCCTGACGCACCTTCACTAGCTCTTCCAGCAAACAGGAAACCATCTCGTCGCGCTGCTTCAGTGCCTCCTCCTTCATGCACAGCTCATCGATGGACGACTGGCGCGAGTTGTTCTACATTTTGTTGGGTAACATCATTTATCATTAAACTTCTTTCATCTATGAATGAATGGGCGGTTTTAGGGCATGCGGTGGCAGTGTTTAGCTATTATACAAATTAAACTCGTACTATGACTGATAAGATACAGATACAAATTATTCTCTGGCTGCTACAGATACACATAATTCGGCTACTTAATACTAAGTCACGCACACGGATTATAGGTGGGTTTTTATAAAACGTTTCCAACCCCATAAAGTATATGTATATATTCTTAATCAGCATCAATAGCATCAGAGACTTTAGGAGCTCGTGCCACCAAATTTTGCCTTCAGTCTGCTGTATTCTCACGCTGAAACTAGTGCATTTCAAAAAATAGCACCGCCCCCTTCCACCCCCACAAAGGGCGAAAATCTGCCCTTTGCTTTGTACAATGGCTAAGTTCATAACAACCAGACGTAAGATACTTAAGTTATGTTACAAAAAAAACCAGACTTAAAAAATTCTATTAAAAAAATGTCTGCCATAGAAAAAAAATTATCATCAAACCATTTCTTAGTCCCATATATTTCATAAAAAGTTTGTCTGGATCGAAGCGGCAAAATTGTGTCGAGTAGTGTTATCTCTTTTACGGTTTAATTCTTAGATCTAACAAACAAAGACTTTATCTAATACAAACAACCAAAAAAGCATGCACAAAAATAAAAAAAATAATTTATACATATTTATGTACAATGTATACTATACATATAATTAATGAGTGGAATTCACTTGGGATTTTAGGAGAGGAAGGCAGGTAAGCTTTGGGAAAGTTACGCATAAACTACAACAACATTTTGATGTCTTTTTCTCTTTTTTGAGATACTTACGCTTTCGATGGATACATTCTGTTTTTTTTTTTTAATTTTGGGTGTGTACATTTTTTGTTTTTTGAATAAAGCGAACATTTTGTGTGTGAAGCACCACAACCATAAAGTAAACCAAATAAAATAGAAAAGAATACAGAAAAGATTAGAAACATAGTCCGTTTTAGTTACAGGAAACAATCAATAGAGAGTGAGCGGTAGGGAATCAGGTGGTGGAACAGATGGCAGTAGGTCGGGCGGGATTGCACTTACATTCTCCTGCAGCCGTAGACTGAGACCACGAACCTCCTCATTGGCATTCTCTAGCTGATGGGAGACTTCCAGATAGGAACGTCTAAGCTGCATCAGTTCCGTTTGAATGGCATAGCTAAAGGAAAAATGATTAGAAAGAGTTATCTAAAGATATTAAATCTCTTCCCACTTACCTTGTTTCCTCCTCTTCGGCACGTGAGACCTGACCTCGCACCAGGCGATCGGCCAGCTCTGCACTCTCCGCCTCAAGCAAATCATTTCGCTGCTTGAGCAGACAATTCTCGCGACGCAGCCGACGCAATTCCACCATTTCCTCCTGCTCCTTTTTCTTCAAGTCTTGATACTCTTTCTCCATTTTTTTCATGCGCTTTGTATTCAGCTTCTGGGCATAGGCGAGATTGAAGAAACCCTCCGGATCGGCCTCCACACGTCCGGGCAGCTCCTTCTGGAAGAACTTCAGCATGGCCTCCATGTCCAGGCAGAGGAGCGTCTCCTTGCCGGTGAGGAGCAGGGCCAGTGCCACCTTAAAGATAAACTCCATGCCCTCGCTGAGGAAGACGTCCATGATGCGGCAGCTGAGGTTCACATTCAGCGTGGTCGTGTAGAGGGTGAGGAACCAACTAGATGCGTACATCGTTGTCTGGAAGCCCTGCTGCTGGAAGTGTATGTGCATGTCGGGTATCTGCTCCTGCACGAGATTCTCCAGCTGGTACATGCACAGACCCAGTTCGGACATCGATGGCTTGAACATGTGCCGCATGCGATGCTGTTGCATTATTTGCACGAGCACCGCGAACGCCTCCTCCTCGGGCATTTGCATCAGCAGCAGGCCCACAATGAAACCGGAGCCCTGGCAATAGCCCACCTCGCGATCGTGCAGCGAATACGCCTTGATCACATTGAACAGTGCCTCCTGGCCGGGCCCGTCCTTCTCCTTGAAGAAGTCCACCTCCGGGTAGGTGCGCGCAATGTCGCGGCGTATCACCTTCTCGCAGGCGCTCGTCGCCTTGATGTACTCCGCATACTGTTTCTTGTCCGCCTCCGCCGCTGTGCTCAACTGTTGCCACACAATCGCCCGAAAATGGTGCGGTATGCCGCGACGCACCAGCTCGCGCACACACGGATTTTTGCGCTTCAGTGCCCCTTCCCAGTCGTTCAGAATGGTGGCCCATGTTGTCCAGATGTCCTCCTCAGCCACGGAATTGCCGCCTGTTGGAAAAACCACACATTTAATTAGTTCTCGAATTCTCAAGGGAGTGGGGGGGGGGGGGTCGAAGCTTCAGGGGTTTATCATACGTCGCATTATAGCTAATTTATGCATTAATTGGAATGCCATTTGTAAATGGTTCTCCGATTCGGATCCAGATATAAAGGAAATCGCTCTCTTCCTCCACACGCCCGGGAGAGATCAGATATTTGTGGGCGCTTTCAACTTTCCACTTTTTCGATAATTTGATAGCTAAATAAAACCCGACTACGATTGTGGAATGATTGATGAATGATGTGGTAAAGGCACAACTTTGTGACTAATTTGTTCCAAAAATGTTTCCCATAAGTGAAAGGACACGATCGATCGTATGTGAATGTGAATTAGGGCCGGCAATTGGTACTACAAATTACTTACTCGATGTGAGACTAATCTGACTCGTGTCGGAATTCTTGCGACTGTGCGTAGAGTGCAGTGAATTGAGTGACTTGGCATCGCTCTCGATGAGCTTGTTTGCTGCCTCCAGTTTGGCCAACAAATCCATTTCAGAGGTGGGCAAATTCTCATCGGCTGTGGGAGGTTGAGTGTTACTGTTGCTCCCAGTGACCTTCACGTCCATCTTCGTTTGGCTCTCCTGTGTTGCGGCAATTGTCGTGGCTGTCAGGGTCATAGCGACGCTGACGGCAACGGCAATGGCGATAGCGACCTGATAGTAGCGTAGTCAAAGCTGGCACACAGACAGGCACAGAGAGAAAGAGAGAGACAGAGAGTTGTATTTCTGAGTGTGTGTGTGATCTTTCAGCAGGGATTCCTGATCCTTTGATCTAACAGCAACGACACATGATGCTCGAATTCTTCTGTTTGCGATGCTCAGACGCCTCTTACTGAAATTGTCAGAAGAAAGTGGAAAAAAAAAAAAAAATAGTTAAAAGAAGTAATAATCTTTAAAATAAACGAATAGGAACGTTTTTGAGACCGCTTCGTATGCGTCACAACTTTTACACCCGGTACTCAGTCAGTATATATGAACCCTATTGGTTTTTTTCGAATTTTAAGAAGAAATTAGTATTTCAAAAGTATAAGAGTCATCTTGATCCATCTATTTTCGTACATTTTGTTTCTCATTTCTAAAAAAGATGTCTTTCTCGTCACTTCTCTTCTAACATCCTTCTTAAGTACTTGGCATTAAACGCGACAACAATGCTGTGCAGAAAAGCACAGGAAATTTGCCGTTTCGAAACGTTATCGAAGTGCTCTCGCCGAGAAGTAACACCTTCCGCCCAGAACAGTTATCAAAATCGGAAATAGCTGGAGAAAAAGAGAAAACCAAAAAAACTTTTGCTTTTATTTTATTCTTTTACTATGTTTACTATTTCTTACATGTATTACATGTTATTCTTTCATTTTCTTTTATTTAATTTTATAATGTTTTTTTTTTTTCTTTCTTCTTCAAATTTTTCCATTTCATTTACATTCCATTTCCATTTTTCTTTTATTCTGCGTCTTTTCTGATTGACTGCAAGGCAGTAAGAAGCGAAAAGAGAGAGATAAAGACAGGTAAAGAGCGCCGTCATTATCGCGCCAATGATAACCGAAAGTTTTTTGTTGTATAAACTTTAGTTCGTTTTGTTGTTTTTTTGTGTAGTGTGTGTTTCGATTAATCCGACATTCCTCATTAGAAGAACTTGTTTTATAGATTGATTATATTTCATTAGCTTGGATTTAACTTTGGTTTCTGGTTTAGATTTTTGAATGTTCTTTTATGGGGGTGAAAGATCGAATGGACTGATCTCTTAATTGCTTTTATTGACTCATTGTATATACTGATACCGTATATGTATAAACTGATCCCGTTCTTAAAGTATCTGCTTTGATTCTTGAATGCACTGCCGCAATACGTGCTAATCGATTACATTCTTTTGGTGGTTCAATGCAAAATTATATCCCATTCTTCACACTGCAGTATTATTGTGACAAAGCCTCATACAACCTGCAAACTGAAATAAAACCATAAACAAATATAAATTAACCAGTAAAGTCAGCTATAATGAGAATTGAAATATTTACATACATATGTAAAATGGGTATGTTCTGGTGCAGCTGTCACTTTAATGTAAGAACCAAAGTGGCAACACGATAAGTTCAGAATTGTGTAAAAGCCTTTTCCTAAAATAAAACAAATAAATCTGCTCGCCATTAAGGGGTATGCTCTGGTGTTTTATCAGCTATCCCTTTCTGACAGAGAGAGAGAAGAGCCTGTCTCTTTGGTGGCTGCCACTCCCAGTCGATATTCATCTATCTCTGCTGTTGGGTTTGGGAATTGAAAAGCAAAGTAAATTCATCATCATGCACAGGGATACATCATACATACACATGTACTTATTCATTTACAAAGATACATACATACAATGTAGGTCAGGAAGCGATAAACAATAGAGTGGCTAAGAGCCTGGGGCTGGTTTTTATCGGTATGTCTGTGTCAGTGTTTCTGTAAAGTGCATGCAGTCGGTGGGTAACCACTTAAGTGCCACGGGCCCCCTCTTCTTCGTGATCCATCAAAAGCCACATGTTCTCCATTACACCCAACTCCCCGCTGAAGCACCGCTTAAGACCTATGAGGTGGGGAGTTTGTCTGTCTATGGTTTATCTATGGGAGGCTCTGGACATTAATTGAAGGGGCCCTCTGAGTGATTCATTCTGGTGGCGGTGGTTGTGGATGAATCAACCTGCAATCCAGATATGAATCAAGAGTAATCAGACTTTTTCCACTGTACCCTTTATTATTCTTTAGGATTGGGTTTCCGTGGTAGCTGTAAGTGCTCTGCACATCTGCTTTTAAACGAATTTCCTCCCATCCTTAGATTTCAGTTTAAAGCTAATTTCTCTTCTTTTTTTTTGCCCAATTGGAAAGCAGATCATTTTCCATGTCAGTGCAATTTACCTATATTCCTTAAAGTTGTCTTTAGAGACGAGCTGTAGTTTAAGCTTACAATCAGTGGAATATGCTAAAACGTGTTTACATTAATCTATGTATTAAGCAGTGAAGGAAACCGAATATTTTTATGACTTTACATCGAAGCTAACGAATGACTATATTTATTAACTATCTGCTTTTGCAGCTGTGGGGACTCTACCCCACCCTCCCCCCTCCGAAATTGGCATAAAAATACGAAAACAATATGAAAAACGAGAAGGGACGTGAGAGACGCTTCTCACGCGTCACAACTTTTATACCCGGCACTAAGTACTACATCTGCACCTTAGCGGTGTTTTGTCAAATTTTTCATTTTTTCTTCATCTGCCATCTACATCTACAACACTTCTCACACCAACACGCTCCTTTAGCTGGCACCCCCTTCCTAGACCCACACACTGCAGACTCGCGGCAGACGCAGTGGCCGCACATGGTAGAATTCCTAATAGGTAACGTCGTCAGCTGGGCTTATTCACCACGGGCACCATGGGCTTATTCACCAGCTTATTCACCACGCTCTCTCAGCTCTCAGAGAGACAAGCGCTAAAGAGAGATAGCAAACGTTTTACGTTCTGCACTCTTCGCTTTTATTGTTTCTGCTGACAGCAAAGTTAATATTTGGAGCAACAAATATTTTGCAGACATGTTTGTTTCTAAAAAAAATTTAATTGAATAAAGATTCAATTACATACACATTACATTACACATCCAAAATAAAATAGTAGTTGCATGCATATTTCATTGTCTTCCGCTTACGTCTTCATTCGTAAACAATGAAGAAAAATAAGAAGACAATGAAAAAATCGTGCGCTACACAACCTCTTTCGTCGACGTTTGGCAAACGACTGACAAGCTGGTGTACCTCGAATGAGAAGGCACTGTTGTGAATCCGTCACCTTGTTACTAGTTTCACCATGCCCTAAACTGCGAAATAAAATAGCTCATAGAGGAGTCAAACTGACCTAAAAACTGGCTGCATAATCAGTAAAGGGGATTGGCTCCCAGTGCCTTCGGCTCTGGGTGAGAGAGCCTTCGGCTGAGAGTTTGGCGTTTGGCTCTCTTGAGCATTGAACGCAAAGCAACATTCACACATTTTGCTCTCCCTCTTTCGCGCATTCAAAGTTTAAGGCAAATTGCAGCTTAAATGTGCAACAAGGATTGACAACTTGATTATAATTTTTCGAGAATATTGATTAAGTGTCGCAAAATGCACTTTTATTTTTGGATGTCTATAATCATTTTGCCTGTCGTAAATCTGTTGGGTTTCTATTTTTAAGTGAAACTCAATTTAAGCTTATATTTTGGCCTTTGACGTTGACTAAGTGCGAGTGGTGTCATTCAGGCCTATGAAAGTAATGAGGACGAGGGGTGAAGCAAAGAATAACAGAGTGATAGTTGACAATATCTCTGTTGCAGTGTTACTCATATGGCAGTAGTGTTCACATACAGGCTAGACATAGTCAGAAAAAGAGACAGCCGTGTGTTTGGGTTTTTTTTTTGTTGTTGTAGAAAATATATTATAGAAAAAGCCATCAACAACAACAGATAACTGGGGGAAGAGAAGATAAAGACATACTAATATCTCCATCGATACGATACGTGTTGATTAGATTTCGACACGACACTAAAACAACAACAAAAGCAACAAATAAAGCGCCCAAGATTGTGCCAGCGTGTATGCGTGTGTGTGCATATGTGTGCATATGTGTGTGAAATCAACTGTAACAGCAAAAGCAAAAGGCACAACAGCAACCGATGTGCAAATCGTAAAATCTCCATTAAAAATAAGGTTAGTGTTGACCCTCGCCCACGGGCCCGACTCAGTACGAAAAGCGCACAGGAAGCGATCGGTACGGAACGGAACAACGGTACGAAACGACACGAAAAAAAAAAATAAAAGCAAAAGAGACGCAAGCTCCGACGGTCATGAGAACTCGCATGTAGAAAAATAATTATTTCATTTAATGGAAAACACATTAAAATAATAAGGCAAACAATCATATTAATCCAACAAAACAAACCTAGGCAAAGGCCAGGCCAAAAAATAAACGGGTTTCAAAACCTTTCTCCCCTCCCCTCTCCCGCTATCTTTCCAACCAACATACATATGTATGTATGTATACTGATCTTCATTTTGCGCCATCGACTTTTACGGTTTGTGCTTGTGGTTGATTTTATTGTTGTTGTTTTTTTATTAGTGCCAAAGACAAGGTTAAAAAAGACTCCACTCAAAAATAAAGAGAGATAGAGCGAGCGAGAGCCACCCACGGTGCATACAAAGAAAAGCTGCACAAGGTGCAGAAATACGACAAACTACTCCAAAGCCGGCGAGACATAGAGTGAGGAAGAAACAAACATAGACAAACTTCAGAGAGAGAGAGAGGATTCATAGACATACACTTCAAAGAGTAGAGAGCACAAAAGCGAGCGAGAGATTGAGAGAGCGTGCTCATGACAGCCACAACGGAAGCCGTGGCCGCGGCCGCCATTGCCACCACTCCCGTCCAGGAGCAGACTGCGCTGCATCCCACTCACCCCGCTAACAAGATCATGTCGTCTCTGCCCTCCACCCCCACAACCGCCACCACAGAGACGAGTCAAGCTTTGAGCGAGATCTTCTTTGTGGAGAGCAGCCGCCGAAAGCACAGCATTAAGATTCAGGTGAAGCTCTGTCCGGAGGGCGTGTACCTGCGACGTGAGACCGATCAGGATGATCACATCAACGAGCAGCTCATACGCATCGATGACATCATTGGTTCCCGGTATGGTCCACGCCTGAAGAAGCGACCACGCGGCGGCCTCACTTCGTGCAAGAATCCAAGCGGGGATGCTACACAGGAGCAGGAACAACAGCCAGATAGTGATAACAGCGCCTACCTATATATCTATGCGTATCTGAAGAAAGAGAAGCCCCTGCGCCGCGTGCAGACGCTACGCATTCTGCGCTTTCGCTCGAGCAACGACTACGCGGAGAATCTGCAGACGGCAGAGCTCTGGCATCGCACCATACGGGATCACAAACAGCGTAACACCACAATTATCGACATCTCAGGCTCCATTTTGGGCTCTGGCTCGAGAAAACACCTGTTGATCCTGCTCAATCCGAAATCGGGCTCGGGCAAGGGCAGAGAGCTCTTTCAGAAGCAGGTGGCGCCGCTGCTCACTGAAGCTGAGCTTCAGTATGATCTTCAAATCACAACGCATCCCCATTATGCCCAGGAGTTTGTGCGCACTCGCAAGGATCTGCTGGAGCGTTACTCTGGCATTGTGGTGGCCTCCGGCGATGGGCTCTTCTATGAGGTCCTCAACGGCTTGATGGAGCGCATGGATTGGCGTCGCGCCTGCCACAATCTGCCGCTAGGCATCATACCCTGTGGCAGCGGCAATGGTCTAGCCAAGAGCGTGGCACATCACTGCAATGAACCGTACGAGCCGAAGCCTATTCTTCATGCCACGCTCACATGCATTGCCGGGCGGAGCACTGCCATGGATGTGGTTCGTGTCGAGTTATCCTCCAAAGATAAACACTACGTGATGTACTCCTTCTTGTCCGTGGGTTGGGGCCTCATTGCCGACATTGACATCGAAAGCGAACGACTACGCTCGATTGGAGCCCAACGATTCACACTGTGGGCCATCAAGCGGCTCATCTCGCTGCGGACATACAAGGGCAAGGTCTACTATCTGCCACACCCCAAAGAGGAGCAGGAGAAACCCATCGCCGCTGCAGCTGCTTCTGTTGCTTCCCACCAAGAAAAGGAAATGGAAAAGGAAGCCCCAGTGCAGCTGTCAGTGGAGGTGCCGGCTCCACCGAGCAGGCCCATCTCGTTGCCCCTTAACCTCAACGGCGATGTCGGAAGTGTCAATGATTTCAGCGAATTCAGGGATCTGCCCGAGGACTTCAACGAGGAATCCGAAGCGGACCCGGACCAGTTTGTCGATGCCCTGTCCTTGGATCGTTCTATCTTTCGCCAGCACGCAGACAGCTGGCACTCGGCAATGTCCCGCCGCACCGCCTTCTATTCGGTGGGGGGCCAGAGCATCCGCTCGAGTCGCAGCCGGATGAGCGTGCACCAGCGGATTGAGGCGGCCAATGCAGAGTTTGCGGAGCTACTGCCCTCGGGCACTATACCGGGACTGCAGATGCCATTGCCTGCCGCCGATGGATGGTTCTGCGAGGACGGGGATTTCGTGATGGTACATGCCGCCTACACGACGCACCTGTCATCCGACTGCTACTTTGCGCCCGAATCCCGACTGAACGATGGCATTATCTATCTAGTGATCATCCGCAGTGGCGTGGGCCGCCACCAGATGCTTAACTTTCTGCTGAGCATGAACACGGGCACCCATCTGCCGCACGGCGACGATGATCCCTTCATTCGCGTGGTGCCTGTCAGGGCGTTCCGCATCGAGCCGTGCGGTAGCGATGGCATCCTGGTCGTCGATGGCGAACGTGTCGAATATGGACCCATACAGGCGGAGGTGCTGCCGGGACTGATCAATGTGATGACCACCAATGGACAGTGAGCGATATATCGATAAAATTATGGTAGCTATGCGACATTAGATATGTGTTGCAGATCATAAGAGAACAGTTACTACGCATGAGCATTTGTCGATAATTGTCTACGTTCGAAAGACATTATTCCATCATCCAATTTATACGATATATTAACGTAAATGTACGCAAAAATGTTAGTTATTCGATAAAGCCCATTCTTTTGTTAGCTATATATTAGATTTATTATTAAAAGCCAGTCGATTTCACTAATTAATGAGATATCGATAGGGCGATACCTGTGCTTTCATTCCAAAAAGATCATGACACTAATCGATGGTAAGCTTACTGAAAATATGAATTATGTGGATGGAGGGATACACATGTGCATATGCATGTATGTACATATGTAGATAGGTTATTTGATAATCGATTTTTAATGGGATCGTTACCAGATCGTTCAAAGCTATGAAGTGCACACTCTCTACAGTAGATCTGCAGAAAGATCCGTCAGAAAAGGAAAAAAATACTTAAATAACACTACTCGACACGATTTTGCCGCTTCGATCCACAAAAAAATTCGGACTTTAAAAAATCGGGCAAAAGTCGAAAAAAAAATATGTGTCCCCACTACCTCTAAAAAAATCCGTTACAAAAAAATACCAGACTTTAACAGTTTGTTAAAATAATTTCTGGCACGGAAAAGAACCAGATCTTAAAAAAAAAAAATTAAAGCCCCCAGAAAAAGCCTATCAGAAAAGGCGGATTGGTTTGAAGAGGAAAGAAAAAGGTGTATTTTGTCGAGTAGTGTAATCAATTATGTTGGTTTCCACTAAAATATATTTTTTTTTGCAAACTGTTTATTATTTTAAGACCAAGATAAAGCAAATAAAAGACTAAACAAAATACATATAAATATGTATGTATGTATGTACATACAGTTGTGTTCAATGAAATAGTACTCGGGGCAATCGGTCCGATGTTCAAGAGGGATGCCCATTAAAATTCAAACTTCGACGACCAGCTTATGCCAAAGGGATTACCGAAAGCACACATAATCTATATTAAATAGTGAATGCTCTGTCCCGTCTGTACATATTTGCCCTGCGGGCTGGGTGGGTGTCAAGTAGCTTAGAGCTTTCACTGTGTCGCTATGAATCAACATATCATATCAGAAATTATCTCTGACAGGTACTTAAGTCCGCGGCAGCAATTATTCCTGTAATGACAATCGAAACTCTCTGTTGGATACCCCTTAAATATAACTATTCAACACATCCATTTGAAATTGCAATGGAAATATGAAGCGGTCACTCTTTTGAAAGTAATTCCCCTAGTATTGCCTTCGAAGAGGTCTAGCTTTTCAAGGGTGTATAGCGATTGATTATATTTGCAATCTTATCATAAACTCAAACAACACATAGACCTATGGACAGGCCAACTCCGGTACACTGGAAACGTTTCCAAAGCATACTTTTAGGCCATGGTGGGAATCATTTCTGGTGCACATTTCGTTCTGGAAATGACGGCCTATGGGTAATTTATGTTTCTGGTAAACTTTTCGTCGCGCGAGTGTCCCGTGTCCCCGGAACGGCGTTGCTCATCGATCAGTTTTCCAAGATGTTTTGAAATGAAACTTAATAAAAATATATTTCCTGCTATATTCGGTACGTCGGTAATAAATAATATGTGAGTTAAACATCGGCAGCGCTGTGTGAATGTGTCACGAATTACCCCCATTTCTGGAAGCCCGACATTGACGTCACGGCAAGGCTGCAATCCGTTCAAAGTCTCGTAGGTCAAGGTTTATGGCAATATAACCATCCGAGAAAACAAAGCAGTGTACCGCTCAGTAAGCTCACGTCTCTCGCCCCCTCTCACTCACTCTCGCCCCCTCGTTCACAAAGAAGTAACGCTATTGAAACGCTGTCGTTGTTTAGTTTGCTTTAGTTACTAAACGGTCGTTAATTTCTTTACGTTCTCACATACTGTGAAAGGAGGACTGGGTACTGTGCAACAGTAAATGGTGATGAAAAAAAAGACCCATTGAACATAGGTAATACCATGGAGTTTGCATTTGGTTAACAATTTTGTCACGCACCCATGAGCTTTCCCTCTTTTATTATTGCGTCTGTCTGCTGTCTGTCTGCTTCCTGCTGCCCGCGCCACTTGTCTTCTCTTTTGTGTATTTGCTGCAGCCTGTAGCACACGAAAACACTTAAGCCAACCACTCCATGTAAATTCGGACCATGGAAGTGCACACTCGGCAGATATTTCTGCACTATTTCCAGTCTAATTCATTCAAAAAAAGTTCTCCTTCAGCCACTTGCCGCGCACGCCAGCCACATTTAATGTGTGTTTCGGCTTGGCTCCCTGGCCATGGCTTTTGCGGTGGGTCTGGCTTTTTATACCCGGTGCTCGAAGAGTAAATAGGTTATACTGTATTTGTGGGGAATAACGGATGTTTGTAACGCACAGAAGGAAACGTTTCCGACCCCATAAAGTATATATATTCTTGATCAACATCAACAGTCGAGTCGGTTGAGACGTGTCTGTCCATAAAAACTAGAGCCATCAAATTTTGCATCCAGACTGCTGTATGTTCACACTGAAACCAGTGCATTTAAAAAATTAGCCCCGCCCCCTTCCGACCCCGGAAAAGGGCGAAAACCCCACAAATCTACAGTTTTGAAGATAAAAGAAAACTAAAAACGACATTCCGTAGAGAATGGCCATATCTATCAGATCACCTAATTGGGATCCGATTGGATCATTATTATAGCCAAAATGAAGAAATTAATTTGCAGTGGCTAAACCCACCCTGTCCCGCAGCTTTTGTTGTTCTTTTCACATTCTCTCATTCAAACTCTGCTTCTGCTTCACTCGGCCTCTGCCTCTGCCGTCCCTCTGCCGACTTTTAACTCACCCCGTCCCGCAGCTTATTTTTTTTTTTTTTGCGTTCGGGCGCTGCCTCTGCCTCTGTCGCGAGTCTGCAGTGTGTGGGATTGAGGAGGAGGGGGGGGGGGGGGCGAGCTAAACTAGCATGTTGGTGTGAGTAGTGTTGTAGATGTATATGACAGATGAAGAAAAAATTTAAAATTTTACAAAACACCGCTAAGGTTGAGATGTAGTACTGAGTGCCGGGTATAAAAGTTGTGACGCGTAAGAAGCGTCTCACATGTCCCTTCTCGTTTTGGTTAAATATTTGACTGCGACATTACTTTTCTGATTCCTGAATATCAAGATAGAATAAAACTGGTGTAGAAGATTTTTACGGAGTACCATACATTTTTTGCGCGCTTTCAAAGTCGTCTGATTTTGAGATGCTTTGACTTGTGAAAAAGTGCGGTAAACATTAAGCAACTTGCAGCTTTAAGTGTAACTCAAATATAGGTCGAGATATTTCAATTCATTGCTAAAACATGTTTTTTGATAGTTATGTGTAGTTTTTTAATTGTCCAATGTTTTGTTCGTGTATATTTTTGGCTTGGTATTAATAATTGCACGTGTGTTCTGTGGAATATTACTTTTGCACAGCACATCCCTGCACAGAGGTTTAAGTAACATGTTATTAAAAAATTATTATAGAATCATGTGGTGTAATTTATTTTTGCCCGTTTTTGCCCCTTTTCGGAAAATTTTAAATTTTGCAGATGCCTTTGTTCGCTCATGCAGCGCTGCTAGAGGTCTGGACCAACTCCAATCATGAAGCAACAAGTACTAAGCGAAATGCAATTGTACGTTGGAACGATTCCTATCATATTAATTTTAACCAAGCAATCATTCGCTGAGTCAATCAAATATATTTTTTTTTAAGTTATAAAANGGGGGGGGGAGCTAAAGGAGCGTGTTGGTGTGAGTAGTGTTGTAGATGTATATGACAGATGAAGAAAAAATGCTAAATTTGACAAAACACCGCTAAGGTGCAGAAGTAGTACTGAGTGCCGGGTTTACAAGTTGTGAAGCGTCTCACACGTCCCCTCTCGTTTCGTTTGTTTTGTGTGCCGTATTTCCTAACTGCTCTTATCCGGTAAATATATGTATTATGATGCATAATATATTATGATGCTCGCTTTCTCCTTCCAAAAACGTCTGTACTTTTCGACTGCTCTCAATCATTAGCTCTCTTAAGTTCCCTATCTGTTAAATTCTGTTTGTGTTATTTGGAAACTTAATCCAAATTTATGGGGTATCAATCTCTTCGGCATGCTTTAACTTCATCTGCCTCGCAAATGCACCTCTCTCCATCCATCGCTGCAGTGACGCTGTTTCTTCTCCCGATTAGTCAGAAACCTGATATTGAATATTTTACGCTGACATTTGCTGCTCTCCCTGAACCGCAGCCCCTGTCTCCGTATCTCTCGCCCACTCTCTTTTAAACAAATCACACAATTTTTAGCCAATGATTTTTTTTGTTTAATGACGAATGAATAATACATTAGATGACCCACCCGCCACTCGCCACCGTGGGGGCATTCGCAGTATTAGTGGGGAAGTTCATTTTTGTTTATTGCTAACTTTAGGCACAAAAACAAAATCAACACACATTTCAGGGCACTCAATAAGCGCATTTTCAGGTGTGGAGTCATGCCAGGGAGGATTTCTGAATACAGTCACGGCGGCATCAGGAAATCTCAAGTATTGAAATTCCCCAAAGTGATATCACTGTGTCCCTGTGGGTTCTCTGCCTGTCCTGTCATTTCCATCCTTTGTGCGCCGTTTGTCCCCAATGTAATTATAACTTCACTCATCAAAAATTTATAAATGCCACGCCCACACGCACACACACACTGCCAAACCCTGGTTCCCAAACACTCTCATTAACCCAATTTTTATTGTTTGCATTGCATTGGCGCCAAGCCCCTGGCAAAGGCTTTGACGTCAGAAGCCAATGGAGACGTTCAATTACAGTGAAACTTTGCTTTAAAAGATAATGTACACCGAAAGTGAATAAATTTCTAGGGGAAATGTTTCACTTTTTCCACCTGTTCTCGTAAGTAAAGGAGAAACGTTTCACTTTGAGTGGCACACAAAAATAAGAAAAATAATTATATTTAATTCTTGTCTTTTTTCTCCGATCAAAATCTTTGTTTGGGGCCAACTTTCATTTTATCCAATTTGTGTTTCGTTTATAAGTGTTATAAAAATTATTAAACTCCCATAACCAGGGACTGCAATTAATGATTATTTGTAATTATTCAAATAAAAAAATCATTCAATCATATGCCAATATTCATCTTAAAGGATAATCTATGCATATCCACCATGATTTGAGTGTGTTGAAGTTATATCGAAATACTCACAGTATAATGATTAGTTTTGAGTTATACTTTACTACTCAATCAATAATAATTATGTTTGAGCACAAAAATAAAACTCAAGATATAATGATTAGTCGTTTTTTTTGCTCAAAAATAAAACTCAACTTTCAATTTTGACTTATTCTTACGTAACAAATGGAAAAGTTAAATTTATTCTTCATCCGTGAGCTCAGACCAACAATAATAAATATAAGTTTTCCACAAAATAAATCAACGTCTAATCATTATTTCTTGAGTTTTAT